TAAGGGAAACTAAAGCTACGCTTGGTAACTCCATCTTATCTTAAAACTATCCCTTTTATCATTATTTAAATGGTGGCCCAAATCTCTTATAAAACATGGCTTTACTAAATTTAATAATGAGAATTTGTTAATTATTGAAAATCATCTTATCTAAAATTATTGAGCTTTCAGGTTTACTTTTTGCTCCTTATTATAAGAAAACTAAAATTTTAATGCATATCACCTAAAAAAAATTAAAGCATGTGTTTATGTGTACATTATCTAGTCCAAAGGAATGATAGTATAACAACTATTACAATGTCTCATAACCCAAAAATTAGAAACTAGGATGTAATAACTCTGAATGCAAGTAAAGTGAGGTGTATTTAAAAAGGAAGGAATGTATTGGGAATGGATATTTTGAAAGTATTGGGAAGAATTTAATGGCAATGAAATGGTTATCTTTTGAAATAAAATGATTTTTAATAAATAAGAAAGCAGAAGAAAGTGTTGAAGATGTAAGAGAGGTATCTTTGTAATAGAAATTTTATGTGCTCAAATGACTTGCTAAAGGAATATTTGAGTTTAATATCAGTACTGTACTTACGTAAAACCAAACTAATTTCTTTTTCATCTGCAAAAAGGGACTAAAGTATTCTTAGGCTGCTTTTACTAAGCTTTCTATAACAAATTAAAGACTGCTGAGTTAATCTAAAAGCTTGGTACTCTTTTACCCTCAGGCTTGGTTAACTGAAAAGAATCTAGTCCTGTCAGCATTCTTGAGCATTGTAAAAAAAAAAAAAAAAAAAAGTGATATTCTTAAAAACCTTTAGTTGTAATTCTGGGTAATGAAGTGCTATTTTATGAAAATCTACAAATGTTTATTAAGCCTGTGACAAAACTTTTTTGACATTAAATTTCTGAGATAGTAAAGTTCTTGATCAGTAAAAGATATATCTTGGGAGGCCTCCTAACGAATTGTTTTCCTCACGGAAAAAATGTTGAAAAATATTGATCCAATCTAAGCGTATTAAAATATCATAGGAGGCATTGTCATTGATGAGAAGTAGTCACACCTTTTCAGCATATATGGAATTGATAGAAGTGTTCTAAAACATATTAAAACATATATATATCTATCTAGAAATCATTGTTCATTTTTGTACAGTGTTTGATTTTGCCTCTCAGGGGTTGTTCCCACGAAATTCCCACCACCAAGACACCCATGAACTGTCACCATAGACTCTTGTGCTCCTTCCCCACATTGTAATCTCTCTCCATCCCCCTCCACTGCTGAATGTCTCCCATTTATAGTTTGCCTGATAGTTTTGCCTTCCCCCCCGCCCGATTCCTTGTATGGTTTCCCTATGTTCCTCCTATAAGTAAAATCATCCAATATATTTCTTTTTCCTTCTGACTTATTTCACTGAGCATAATCCCTTCCAGCTCCATCCATGTTGCTGCAAATGGCTTAAGTTTATCTTTTTGATTGCTGAATAGTATTCCATTGTGTATATATACCACATCTCCTTGATTTAGTCATCTGTTTGGGGACATTTAGGTTGTTTTCATATTTTAGCTATTGTAAATAATGCAGCAATGAACATAAGAGGGCTGCTTTCCTTTTGAATTAATGTTTTTGTGTCCTTTGGGTAGATTCCTAGGAGTGGAATTGCTGGATCATATGGTATATCCATTTTCAGTAATTTGAGGAACCTCCATACAGCTTTCCACAGTGGTTGGACCAGTTTGCATCCCCACCGGCAATATAAGAGTGTTCCTTTTTCGGAACTCTTCTGCACTGTTGGTGGGAGTGAAAACTGGTTCAACCACTATGGAGAGCTGTGTGGAAATTTCTGGACCTACTAAACATAGAGCTTCCATATGATCCAGCAATTCCACTCCTAGGTATTTACCCAAAGGACACAGAAACATCAATTCCAAAGAGCACCTGCACCCCTATGTTTATAGCAGCTCTATTTACAATAGCTAAGATTTGGAAACAACCCAAATGCCCAAAAATAGATGACTGGATGAAGAAGATGTGGTACATATATACCATGGGATATTACTCAGCATTCAAAAAAGATAAACACATGCAATTTGCAGCAACATGGATGGCGCTGGAAGGGATCATGCTCAGCGAAATAAGCCAAAAGAAAAAGAAAGATACCGGATGGTCTCACTCATAGCAGGAATGTAGAAAACTTAAATAAGGGACCAGGAAAATGAATAACTATAAGAAAGTGAAAATCAAAATCAACAAAAAACTATGAACCAGAGACACTCTATGGGGGGTAGAGGGCAGGAGGGGAGGGATTGGGGTCAAAATAAGGGGGTTGCAATTGTATGGGGAATATAAAAATAAAATTTATTATAGAATAAATAAATAAATAAATAAATAAATAAAAACTTGTTAACTTAAAAAAAAAAGTGTTCCTTTTTCTCCACATCCTCTTCAACATTTGCTACTGTTAGGATTTTTTTTTTTTTAATGTGGACCTTTTTTTTTAAAAAAAAAAAAAAAGACTTATTTATTTATTTATACAAGCACTGGGTACAGTCAGAAGTGTGAGAGGGTGAGAGAATTCACCAGAGTCAGAGCGGGGAGCAGAGCAGGCAGAAGGACCGAAGGACACTGCTGAGGGGAGCAGTGGGCTGCAGGAGAGGTCTGCGCGCCATGTGGGACCCTCACCCGGTGGCCGGGGTTCGAACCGGCGCTGCAGAGGCTGCAGGCAGCTTCACAACCCAGCGCTCAACCACTGAGCCACCAGGGATTATGTGGGCCATTCTTAGTGGTGTAAGGTGGTATCTCATTGTGGCTTTGATTTGCATTTCTTTTTTTAAAGATTTATTTATTTATTTATTTGTTTGTTTATACAAGCACTGGGTACAGTCAGAAGTGTGGGAGGGTGAGAGAATTCACCATAGCCAGAACGGAGAGCAGAACAGGCAGACTGACGAAGTACACTGCTGAGGGGAGCAGCGGGTGGCAGGAGAGGTCTGCGCGCCATGCGGGACCCTCCTCTGGTGGCCGGGGAGCAGCCGGGGATCGAACCGGTGCTGCAGAGGCTACGGGCAGCTTTGCAACCCAGCGCTCAACCGCTGCGCCACCGGGGAGGCCCTGCATTTCTTTGATTATAAGTAATGTTGAGCATTTTTTCATGTGCCTGTTGGTCATATTGCAGATCTTTGATCTCAGTCCCTTTTCAGTCTTTCAACTCCTTTGTGAAGTTTATTTCCAAGTATTTAAATTTTTTTGGTACAGTTGTGAATGAGATGGTTTTCTTGATTTCTTCTTCTTCAAATATATTGCTTTCATATAGGAAGGCTACTGAATTTTGTGTGTTGATTTTGTAACCTGTTACTTTACTAAACTGGTTTATTGTTTAGTTTTTCTATGGAATTTTTAGGGTTCTCTAAAATAGATGAGATTTCTTAAAGTCTAGTATGTTCTGGTATAATATCATTGGTCAGTTATGATTATTCTAAAGTATTGAATTCACAAAATTGAGCAAAAATCCTTGTCTTTTGCTTTATACTAGAATTTTAAGTGTGGTTGTTTTCAAGGTATTTTGTTGTTGTTGTTGTTGTTTTTATAAAGGTTACTTGTTGAGCTATCTGCACAGAAAAGTCACAGAAAAGAGACTGACAGTACTCTGGACATACAGGTTTGTTTTGGAACTGAGAAAAACTACTGAGCCTATAGAGAAATTAGATTTATGAAAATTACCAATAGAAGATCGAGAATTACTGCATAGGACAAAATACACTGAAAAGGATTTGTATAATTTTAATAACTTTTCAAATATTGGTTTTTAGTGTTTTGCTTCTTATTTCTAGAAAGCTCATCTTTGAACTATATAATCTATAGTAATGGCATTTTGCATCATTTATGAGCAAACTGAGGCATTTGCTTTTCTCTCATTCCAAAATGTAAAAAAAAAAAAAAACATGAAAAACCTTGTACTCAATATTTGTACTTCTCGTGGCAATATGTCTATTTTTGCATAATCTCAATGGGGAATTTTATATATTTCTCCATGAACAAGAGAATTGGAAACATGTTTTGTTATAAGGCTTGGATTGAAATTCTTCTGGGGTTTGAATTTGAGCTGATCCAAGAAGAGCTGAGCCAAGAAGAGCCTGCCTCTTTACTTAAGGTTTCCAAAGAATTCCAAGAAAGGTGGAAAAACTTGCCTCCATTGGCAGGGCCAGAAAAACCCTGGGCAAAAAGGCCTAGGAACCTTGAGAAGAGGAAATCTCAGGTGAAGTCTGGTAAGACTGTGGCCTTAATTCTGAAGCCTGCATGGACTGGATGTCAAGAGGCCCCTATGGTGTGCTCAACAAAGCCAACAACATTCTGCTTGGTTATCCTGCCCTATGAGTTTATGCAAATATAGGTAAAGTGATGTAAAATTAGATTTAGTTTACTACTCTACAGAATTGGGATGAGGGTAGAGAAAAATTATGTCTCTAACTTTTCATATTAGTCTCTGGTCCTCTTCATTTAGAATTGGATCTTAACTACTTTGCATAAGTTTGCTATTGATAGCACATGATGTATATCTCCTGGTGATCCAGGTGTTTCTGGAAACTTGTCATCATCTTGAGGAAGGAAAAAAGTTGTCCCTATTACATTTGGGACTATCATGTGTTGTATACCTTATTACTGTTGCACGACCACAATATACTTCCATAATAAAAACCCCAATGATGGCCAAGTTCAGCAGGAAGTAGCCAGATGGTTACAACACCCCTTTGTCCCATAGAAATGGAAGGTTATAACCACCAGGGGGGGAATGAAACAGGAATGAGGAACTTGTCTCTCTTTCTGTCCCACCAGATAAGCTCTCCCATTTCGTTATTTACCCTCTAGGTATAACAACCTTGTTTTCTTACATTCCAAGGAAAAAGACCATCCCCAAGATGACAGCATTGAAATTTCTGACCACTGGGTGATAGCACAGCAAGCTGGCACCAAGCTGAATCTCCCCCCAAATCTCTAGATGCCTGAATCACAAGGATGGACATGGTAACTCTTGCCCTATTCCCTCCTTTCTACTCCTTTGTAACTCTGGATAAATACCCCTGCCCTCTGCCAAAAAGCAGGACAGTTGTCTTTCAGACACAAGTCTGCTGCCCCTCTCAATTTGTTGGCAAATTACTAAACTTCTCCTTCAAACTCTCTTTCCTTTTAATGGCTAAACTGAGACCAGCATTTGGTATCAGTAACAAGAGCATGAGTATGATCAGAAGGTTAAAGATGTTACTGGGTTTGTTTTTTGACATAACTTATACGTCTAGTTCAATCACTGTTCAATCACTGTTTGCTCATGTAAAGATCAGGATGCCTTAAACTTTTAGTGAGAACATTCATTTGCTGTCTCCATTCTGGCCTAGGGTAAGAAGGTGGCAGATGTTTCCAACATCAAAAGCACAGGTTGCAAATAATGGTCTCTTCTGTGAGGAAGCATGAATGATCCATCTGACTCTCCCTTTGGGGATTGGGGTCCTACTGTTCTAGTTTGGGAATCTCGGCTGAAGCCAGACTTACTCATTCTCCAGTGTTGCATCCTCGATCCTACATGCTCACTTCTGCACCTCTTTCCCAGTGTAGTACCCGCTTTTTAAAGTGCCTAAGTGGGCATGTGTAGTTAACAACAACATTGGGGCTCCATACAGCTGTTGTCCTCCCTCTCATAGGCTGTATTTCCCCAGGACCACTCTAAACAGTATAATTACACTTTTTCCCACCCCTTTCCTCTGTGCTGTTCATTTAATTTTTTTTAAAGATTTATTTATTTATGCATACAAGAACTAGGGTACAGGCCATAGGTGTGGGGGGGGTGAGAGGGTTCACCAGAGACAGAGTGGGGAACAGAACAGGCAGACTGACTGAAATACACTGCTGAGGGGAGCAGCCGGCGAGACAGGAGAGGTCTTCTGCACCATGTGAGTAGCTCCTTGGCTAGGGATAGATCTCGTGCTGCAGCGGCTGCGGATAGCTTCATAGGTTTCGCCTTAATCCCTTGCACCAACAGGGAGGCCCCTGTTACTTCAATCTTAATTAACTCAGTAACCAGCTCTAAAGATTTTGGTGTTTGGCAACCATAAAATTTTCTCTTTATAAAATTATCTATCTGGAAAAGTCAAAATATAAGAATAAAATGACCTATCTGCAAATATAGAAATGCCTTTCAAAGAAACATTTTACCTTCTCCTGCTTAATTTCCTCAGCTAGAACTTTCAGTGCATATTGAATAAAAATGATCAGCGCCCGCATCCTTCTCACGCTCCTGATTTGGAGGTGTGATGACAGAATAGAGCATATCACATAATCTGGAAAGTGTACCCTACTGTGCCTTCACACTTTCAACACAAGCTGAAGGCAAAATATTTGGAATATGCAGCAGTTTCCTTGCAGGTACACAGGAATCTGACCCACAGTAGTTTTGCTTCTGAGATTAGTCCAGTCAGAGTGAACTTCCTTGTCCAGATCTTGGATGGTGGCAGCTACGGAGGAGTCACCCACAGATTGTGTGCACTCTGCTCTGAGGAGAACGCAGTGAGAAGTGCCAGCCAAGGTATGCTGGGCTATACTGCCTGTATGTGAGGGTGGCACTGTGGGGGTCACCTGAAACCTACAAATGGTGAGGATTTTACTTTCTAGCTCTTGCCCCCTTGTCTGCTTTCTCTTTCTCTTTCACAGACTCCATTCTGGACCTCAGATCCAGGATGTAAGGTGAGGGAAAGACCAGGACAGACTCCTTGGGGGCTCAGAGGAGCAGGGGTCAGTCTCCCCAGGAGCACAGCATCACTAGTGTAGAGAACCCTAATGTTTCCCTAGGAGGAATGTAATCTGCCAAAAATAGGAGTCCCCAGAAGAAATTTTCTGTACTCCAGAATTCATCCTCATTATGAGAGGGAAATACTCCATCCAGTAACTTTTGTTGATTCCCTGTTGTTAGTTCTGAGACTGTGGGTTCCAAGGAAAGGTCACTCTCTACACTCCCTCCTACATTCCCTCGTTCCTCCTCACAAACTGCCAGCTGTGGGAAGGGGAACAGGACTAGGTTTCCCAAGCGGCCGCAGTGGTGGGGAAAGGCGGATCCTGCTCACTCCTCCCTGTCTCTGTCAGGTTCATCACTGCTGGTTTTGGGGCCAGGGGCCCAGCACCCAGGACCCACAGAGGCCCAGTCTTCCCACAGACTCTCGTCACCTCCCTCCCCACCCCATTCTGGTTCTGCAAACTCCCTGGGTTCCAAACTCCCTGAACTTCTTCTGGGAGGCAAGTCCTGATTGAAAAGAGAGAATCATTTAATGGGGTTTGCTCCCCCAAACCAATACCTTCTTTTCCCAGCTCTCTCCAGTTCTCTTTCACTCAGAGGAGATTGACAGAAATGACAAACAACTTCTTTCTGTTTCCTCGTTGATTTTCATTATCATCCTGGTTGGATCTGCACTGATGTTATTAAGCTGCTGTATTTTCTTCTTTGCAGCTGGGATAGTGATAGAGACTGGAGTGTGGGTTTGAGTAGAGTCAAATGTGATTGCCTCAATGGAATCCTTCATACACCACCCAGTTACCTGTTTACTCCAATTACAAAGAAACAACTTGGTTATTAATTATGTTTGAAGTCTGCTAGAGAAAGAATTTCATGCTCCTTCTCTAAGTTTTGTTTCTCCCTCTTGCTGCAAATTCTCTGTGCAAAACCCTGTAGCTTCAGGCCTCCCCTGGTGGCATAGCAGTTGAGCCCTGGGCTGCGAGGCTGCCCGCGGCCTCTGCAGCGCTGATTATTTCCCCGACCGCCGGCGAGGGTCCCACAAAAAAAAAAAAAGAAAGAAAAATACGCCCCCAAAAGCCCTGTAGCTTCTCCTTAGTGCCTGGTCTAAGAAGACTGTCTGCTATGCTGGAATGTTCTATCATCTGGCCACCCTGTAGCCACCTCCTCATGAAGCTATTTAGCAATTGATACATGGTTAGTGGGTAAAAAGAGATGATGTTTAAATTTTATTTATTTTGATTTATTTAAATTTAAGTGGCCATATATAATGATGTCCAACATATTTTGAAACAACCTACATGTCATGTAGTTGCTAAAATCCAACCATTTCTACCTCCAGAGAGAAGCCTTCAAGACCTGTGCGGGGATAGGGCTCAGGTTGGATGTGTTCCCATCACTGTGGACAATTTTGGCTGCTTCAGCTGTTATTCTGGGTGTGACATTGGAGCTTTTCAGGAAGAGACATGGCCTCAGCCACAGCTACCAAGAAGATGATGGAGGAAGCCACATGCTCCATCTGCTTAGAGCTGATGGCGGAGCCCGTGAGCATCGACTGTGGGCACAGCTTCTGCTGCCGGTGCATAGCGGGCACCCTTGAAAAAAATAACCCTGTGACATCATCCCAGGGGACGTTCCCCTGTCCCCTGTGTCGGGCACCATTTCAAAGAGAGAGTCTCCGGCCCAACAAACAACTGGAAAACCTCATTGAAACCATGAAGGAGATAGACAGTGAGAAGCTGTGTGAGGAACACGGGGAGCAGCTCCACCTGTTTTGTGAGGACGACGGGCAGCTCATCTGCTGGCACTGTGAGCGCTCCCCCCAGCACCAGGGACATGCCACAGCTCTTGTGAAAGATGTATGTCCAGCCTACAAGGTGAGTGAGTGGCCAGAAGCCTACCACAGTCAGGTTTTCTATCATGTTGCTTCCTGACACCTGATGTTATTTAACCTTAAAACCCAATGATGGGGCCTCCCTGGTGGTGCAAGGGGTTAAGCACCACACTGTGAAGCAAAATGCAGCCTCTGCAGCATGAGTTCAATCCCTGGCCAGCCAGAGAGAAACCCACATGGTGCAGCAGACCTCTCCTGTCTCACCCACTGCTGCCCTCAGCAATGTATTTCAGTCAGTCTGCCTGTTCTGTTCCCCACTCTGTCTCTGGTGGATCCTCTCACCCCCAACCCCCTCATCTGTGGCCTGTACCCCAGCTCTTGTATGCATAAATAAATAAATCTTTTTTAAAAATTCTACCCTTCTCAAGATTTCCCAGGGCATCAAATATGTTAATGCACCATAGTCCTCAGCTCCTTAGTCTTAGAAGGCAGGAATTCCTCTTTGGTACCTAATGAAGAATTGTCAAATTGAATACATTTTATTCACTCAACTTTTCCTTCAGGAAAAGCTCAAGAAAGCTGTGACAAAACTGAGATATCTACAAGAACAATGTAAGAGTCAAAAGCTGCGAACAAGAGAGCAGATAACTGAATGGGAGGTAAGAATTAATTAATATCAAACTATTTTCCATCCTAGACCTTAGATATAGGTGATGATTAAGCACAAAGCAATGATGGTTTCTTCTCACTACCCCAAACCAAATAGAGGAAATTCAAAGAAGCCATGTTTGTTCTGGTGCCTTTTTAATCTAAGACTACCACAGTTATCTCCAGTTTTTAGCAACCATATGGTCACATTAATAGGCTAGGAAATCCAGTACCTCATGTGGAGGAGTGGAATCATATTCTTTCTGATTGCAAATACCTCAGAGTTCCAAAGACTCAAAATGTGAATAACCCCCTTGTTTGAAGAACTCAAAGTTATCTCTGCAGCATAGTTACCACAGTACAGGTTCTGGCACTCACTCTTCCAGAGTTAGAAAACAACGCTTTTGAGCACTGAGAATATGATCACTCTAGGTGAGATTCTGTTACCAACCTCATGAGGCTGGTGATGATGGTAGAGCTGCTACAAAAACATGTACCTCAGGGCCTCCCCGGTGGCGCAGTGGTTGAGCGCTGGGTTGCGAAGCTGCCTGCGGCCTCTGTGGCACCGGTTCGATCCCCGGCTGCTCCCTGGCCACCAGAGGAGGGTCCCACATGGCGCGCAGACCTCTTCTGCCACCCGCTGCTCCCCTCAGCAGTGTACTTCGGTCCCTCTGCCTGGTCTGCTCCCCGCTCTGACTCTGGTGAATTCTCTCACCCTTCCGCACTTCTGACTGTACCCAGTGCTTGTATAAATAAATAAATAAATAAATAAATCTAAAACAAAAAAAAACATGCACCTCAGACTGTGTGTCTCTAATACTTTTCCCATGACTGACCAGCCTCCTCAGAATAGACCTCATCTTTGGAGATATACTGAAGCAATGCATCAGTTTTCAGTTAGATGAGGTTGGTGAGGCATTTGACTTCTCTCAATGTCTCTTTCAAAATCTGTCCTGATCTTTTGTGAGTGTATATTAAACTTGAACTCTCACAGGATACTCTTACTACACTTATTCTGGAATCTTAGGCAGTGGAAGAACTTTGTGACTAACATCCAGAGAAGACCCATCAGTGCAAGAGTTAGAGCTGCCCCTGTCGCCTCCACAGAAGTTTCACTTTATCTTAAAACACTGACCCTTCTAGCATGACATCACATCCCTGCAAAACCTCATGAATTGAGAAAGCACCAATGGAAATTTCAATTCCGCATCTTCCAAATAAAAGCTGAGTCCCACAAGGTGGACCATTTGGTTTCTGTCTATGTACATTAAGGATGATTAAGTTTCTTTGGTTGGTGGATGAATAATTGTGTGACTATGATAAAAACCTGCCACCAAACCTCTTCCTCTGGCTAAAAATCCTGTATTTACCCACCAGACTGGTTGTCTTAAAGGCCAGTTTGGTCATGTTCACCACAGGCTTCTGTCAAAAAACTTCCCCCAGAAGCAGAGATATACTTTTAGATATCAATAAAAACTGGACTTTTCTTAATAATTAATGAAGTGATTGACCTTTGGCTCTAGTTCCATAGAAAATTACCTAGCACTCTACTGATACTTTTTCTGGCATCTTGGCTGATCCAGAATGAAAGACTTACAGGAAAATAATGTCATTAGCTGCAAACTTATTTTGCATGTATGTTAAAATAAACAGTTACTGCTTTAAACATTTGCAGTTGTACAGTTCAGTAGCAGAAGTGCTTCCCCATTTTTGTGCAACTATCTCCACCATCCACCTGCACAACTTTCCTCATTCCAAACTGAAACTTCACACCCATTAAACAGTAACTTCCCCATTGTTTTCACCTCCCATTCCAGGTAACCACCACTCTACTTTCTGGATTTGACTAGGTTCCTCTTTTATAAAGTAGAATCATAAATTTTGATCTTTAGTTTCTGACTCTCTTCACTTAGTACCATGTCTTCAAAATTCATCCACATTGTGTCACCATTTCCTTGGATTTGAAGGCTCAGCCTTAACGTACCTCCATACCATGATTGCTTCTTGATTCATCCACAGATGCCCATTTGGTTTGTTTCTACCTTTTCAACAGACTTTCTCGATTCTAGGAGAACATAGAACTTCAGAGGCAAAAAATCCAATCTGACTTTGAGAATCTCCATAACTTCCTCCATGAAGAGGAGAAGTGTTTTCTATGGAGACTGGAGAAAGAGAAAGAGCAGATACTGAGGAGACTGCAGGATGGTGAAGCCAGTCTGAAAAAACAAAGCCTTGAACTCAAGAATCACATCCTGGAACTGGAGGAAAAATGTCAGGGCTCAGCCCAGAACTTGCTGCAGGTGAGGCTGTGCCCTGGGAGGATGGAGAGAAGGTATCTCTTCCTGAGCTCTTAAGTGAATTGCGAAGAAACATGGAAAGACTGGTGTGGCTTTGCTCTTCCTCAAAAGTGCTCCATTGTATGGGGAAATTAAAGTAACGTTTCCTTTAGGATACATAGCTTTGCTGCCAGGTGACCTCCACTAGTCTGTAGTGTGTCTACATGAATCAGGAAC